GAACTGGCAGAAATGACTGGCAGAATCCGAGACCAGGGAGAAGAGCCGGTGGAAGAAGATTGGAAGAAGTTCAAAGATTATCTACAGAAATATTGTAAAATTAATGAATGTTAGAACGATGTTGGATAGAAATTAAGTGGTTTCCAGCTGTAATGCTTTAAGGGAATATGAAAAATGGGTTGTTAAGAGGTAAAAATCTAACGTTACTATTTTAAGACCAAAGATTAGGACAAATAAAGAGGGTAAGGATTTGCTGAACCAACAAACTGAACTGGAATACAAAAAAGGGAGGTATGAGGAGGTCCGGGAAACAAGCTAAGGAAAAATAAGCAATGGAAAAATTGAGTGGTTTTTAATCATTTTTATTTTGTATTTTTTTTTCTTTTTCATTTGTTATTGTAATATTTAAAAAAATCTTAATAAATATCTTATAAAAAAAAAGAAGAAGTTGCAATGCAGAGTCCATGAGGGGTGTGGCCTGAGAAGAGGCTGTGTGGTATGTAACACCTGTGAAGTTAGCAAAAATGTATAAGATAAGCAACAAATGTTGGAAATGTAAAGAAAAAGAAGGTACCTTTTTTCATATGTGGTGGGAATGCAAGAAGGTAAAATGCTTTTGGGAAATGATTTATAATGAATTGAAGAAAATGATGAAATATACATTTGTTAAGAAACCAGAAGCATTTTTACTAGGCAGTACAGGTAATGAGATAAATAAGAAAGAAAAGAAATTATTTTTATATGCAGTGACAGCAGCAAGAATATTGATGGCCCAGAAATGGAAACAGGAGGAATTACCTACGATAGAAGAATAGAGAACTAAAATGATGGATTATGCAGAACTGGATAGAATGACAGGAAGGATCTGGAATCGACGAGATCAAAGATTTACAGAAGATTGGGAAAAGTTTATCCAATATATGCAAAACCTGAGTGATAATAAAATTACGTTTGTAAGCTTTAAGGAAGCTCTGTGAGGGGAAAGGGTTAAAAGGGCAGAAATGTGTAAAAAGTAATAATAGGAAGGAATGGCAGACAAATTGAGGGAAGTCAAAAAAGAGAAGTAAGATGTAATTAAGATGTATGGAATGTATAAATTTGTTTTTGTATTTGAAAACGAATAAAAATATAATATAAAAAAAGAGAAGAGGCTGTGTGGTCTGGGGAGGACCCTAGTTCCCCTTCGCCATTTAACTTTTCTATGATATCTTAAAAATGCATCTTAAAAAGCAGAGACATCACCTTGCCAACAAAGGTCCGTATAGTTAAAGCTATGGTTTTCCCAATAGTGATGTATGGAAGTGAGAGCTGGACCATAAAGAAGGCTGATTGCCGAAGAATTGATGCTTTTGAATTATGGTGCTGGAGGAGACTCTTGAGAGTCCCATGGACTGCAAGAAGATCAAACCTAACTATTGTTAAGGAAATCAGCCCTGAGTGCTCACTGGAAGGATAGATCGTGAAGCTGAGGCTCCAATACTTTGGCCACCTCATGAGAGCAGAAGACTCCCTGGAAAAGACCCTGATGTTGGGAAAGATGGAGGGCACAAGAAGAAGGGGACGACGATGGTTGGACAGTGTTCTCACAGCTATGAACATGAGTTTGACCAAACTGCGGGAGGCAGTGGAAGACAGGAGTGCCTGGCGTACTCTGGTCCATGAGGTCACGAAGAGTCGGACACGACTAAATGACTTAACAACACATGATATAATGTCTATTTACTTCTTTTGTCACGATATCTGTCCCCTGTTTCCCTCGGCTTTTTGTTTTAGTTTTGCCCACAAGAGACACAGAGGAATCAATGCATGACAGAGTTAAGTTCTGAAGGCTGACTGTCAAGCTGTTTTATGAACAGGAAGGTACTGATTGCCTGACTCCATCAAATCATTCCTGATAAGTGGCCAGGTGAGATTCTATAATGAATGACTTCGGGTGGCGGGAAAGTGCGACAGGATAAACGTAAAAGGAAACAAAATGGATTAAAGTCTGAAAGGCTCTTTCTGTACTCGGCACTTTTAAATTAATATCCCTTATTAGATGTCAAGTATATGACAAACATGCTACTGGGTTATTTATATGTTTTATAACATGGACCATTTGTAGAAAAATGTATGTCTGAGATCAGGCATTAGGAACCATAAACTGTGGTCTGCGGAAAGCAAGAAAGACTGCAGCTGGTAGCCTTCCTATTGTTATTCAGTCCATCTCTCAGGCCCTGATGTTGTGCTTTCATTAATTTTTCTATTAACTTTCCCCATCAATGTGATTAAAGATTCATTAATCTGAAGCAAAGGATAAAAGTGAAATAAAGATTGGATCAAACCCATTTCATGCACTCAGATTAGAGCCAAATATTCAGGCTTTATAAAGATGTCTGGTGTAGCCATAAAACAGATGTGTGTGCAAAGGTTTTTGTTGCTGTTCTAATGTTCAAGCCAAAGATGGCCCAATTAAATCTCCACTTTCACTTCATTTGCAACCGCTCGGCTCAGCTCTCTTCAACCTCATCAGTAGGATTTATAATTGCATATATTGCTTCAAATAAAATAAAGTACTAGCAATTAACTGAGGCTGCAGTTCTGTGCCTGTTTACTTGAGAGTAAATGTGGATCCAATGGGGCTTACCTGAGTAAGCATGCATATGAGTCTGTTGAATGCCATGGACTCCTTTGGTCTACATCAGGGATGGGGGAGCTGTGGTCCTCCATGAGATATTCTCAGACCTCAACCGCCATCGTCCCTGATCATTGGCCATGCTAGCTGGGGCAGATGACGATTAAGAGTCCAAAAGTATCTGGAAGGTCACAGATTACTCATCCCAAGTGTACATATTGGTGGAGGTTTCCCAAGATACAGAATTTTACATTATTAGTTTAATTCAGAATTTTTCTTAACCTTGTTCAAGACATTCATTGACATTTTGTCCAGGAAAAATCCTGATTCTTCCCCACTTTGAACTATTACGGGTGCGGGCTGTGAAAGAAATGAAAGAAATGACAATTTCTGGGGTTGACTGGGAGAAGCCATGGCAATTAAAGTTGCATAGAAATCGATAATAGGCATGTAATAGCTGACAACTGCTCCTATATCACTGTGATGTAGGAAAGACTATGGAATTGTGCCAGAATCCATAACTGAGAGACTGGGGATGTGCTAGGTTTCTCTATTCTCTGTCACATCCCAGTCATTTAGCCTCACAGTCCTTCACATGTTGAAGAGGCAAGGTCTGTGGAATGGTGCAGAAGGCACTCTCTAAGACAGTTTAACTTCTTATAGAAATTTGACAGCAATCTGGTGAATGGGTCGGTTTTAATAAGCTGCTGAGGAGCAGAGGCAGGCAAATTGAACTCTACCCACCTCAAAGCTTGCTGCCGCCAGCAGGCTGCCCAGTGATGGTGTGACTCCAGTGGGGGTCACCTCAAGGGGGTAACAGAAAAGTGGGTCATGCCTTTGATGTCTTTCCTTCTGGGGCACCATTGCATCCCATAAAACTGGCAGATGGTGGAGGGACCCTGGTTGAGAGAGGCAGGAAAATGGAGATATCTCAGGGAGAGAGACTCAGAAAGGAGGGGAAAGCTTTCAGGTGAAAGCTGGGAGGGTCTGTCATTATCTGGGATAGAGGGATTACACTCTAGTTTTCTGCAGGGAGATATATGCACGTGTATATTATTTCTGCACTTTAGCTCTCCTGCTGTTGATTTTCACATCCTTTATTGTTCAGGAGCTTATTGTTATTAGATACATACTCTGTTTTATAGGTGTACCTGAAATAAGTAGGTAATTACAGTGTCTCATAATTTTAAGTTTTTCACAGAGGTTATAGTTTATTGTTGGGATATTCTACACAATTTCACATAGCTGCTTAGTATATATTCATTATGGACTATTATGTATTTGTATAACTTTTAGGTATTGGTATTGTATAGAGATTATATTTAGAGTGACTTTTTTTTTTTACGTTCTATGTTGTAAACCACTCTGTGGTTTACTGTAGAAGGTGCGAGGCTATATCTCCACCAGCAGAGGTAAATAAGTAACAGTCTTAGGTTGCAATCCTATACTACTTCCCTGTGAGTCAGTTGCATGGAATTCAATGGCATTTACTTTTGAGTAGACATGTACTGAGTTGTGCTGTGAATGTAAGGTAGGTTTGTGGCGCTGGTGGATCTAGGGATCTTTATGCCTTAATTTTCAGTCAGCATGACTAAAAATCAGATTTATGGCTCTCTGGTGAGGGTTCAAAGTAGATTTAGCTAAAATAGTTGCTTATGAGGTGCTGCTGAGTAAATCCTTGGATCTGAAAAGAGTGGGGGAAATGAGACTGTGGGCATTAGACCACTTTTCAGCACCTTGGAGAGCAATCAGGCCATGGGAGTATGACTTATGTTGCCACTTGGCACTGAAGATAAAAATGAATGGAAGCCATTGGGCCCCATGGTGGCCCATTGAGAAAGCTTGCTTTGGATAAATTCTGTGTCCCTTATCCAATTTTGCCACTAGACCTATCATCTTCCCCAAGGCCCAATAGGATTCAATATTTTAAACCGAGCCTTCACTTTTCTTTTCCTTTATGTATACAATTCTGTTTTAACAGTGACAGCAAAGGTGAAAATATAAAAAAGGCTGGTATGTGTTGGACAACAGAATGAGTGAATCAGTAAGGTAGCTGTACAGATGTTGACTGGATGTTTATCTGCAAATCATTTATTATGAATATAGTTCCTTGAGTATCATTGTTAAAATAACACGGCTAAGGAGTTATTATTTTTAAAGTGAAAATTGATAAAAACTGTTTTAAAAGAAGAAATTCTGTCTGACATGAGTGTGCTGTGAGCACATGAAGAATGTCTCGCTATTTGATAACTCTCCTTTGTTTGGTATGAAATAAAAGCTACTGCTTCTGAGAGGACACCTGCACAGCTGAATGTGCAGCAGTATTCAGAGAGAGGAATCCATTCACAACCTCTTCGGAGTGCAAGTATTGTCAAATTTGCCAAAGTCATTTTAAAGGCTTGGCATTTGGCTGAGCTTTATACAGTGTCCACCACTTCCCATTGTGAGCATAAATTGAGCTGGGAAGACTCAAGGCTTTATAGACGATTCCAGTAGCTGATACTTCAAGGTGCAGACTTCTTGTGGCTTCAATTGTTTTCCTGCAAGGGTTCACAAGGGAATGTCATCTCCCAGATAATTACTGTGCTGCAAAAAAAGGATACAAATCCAGATGAAATCTGGGAAATGGTCCTTGCTTCTCTTCTTTGCATCTATGGTGGAGATTGCCATTATAGCATCAGTTAGCTAGATAAACATGCATCTGAAACTGCTGGCATAAAACAACCTTTTTCCTAGTTTGCACCAAGAATGAAAGGAACCGTGTGGAATTCACAACGAGATTCTTTTTGTATTGCCATCAATTGAAAGCAAATTGGTGAAACCGCGATTCCAGTTTATTAATTAAGTGAACTGACCCCTGAAGGTTGCTGTTGAACTGTTGGACGTGTCAAGCAAAGTCAGCAGAGGCATAGCAACCTTGAGGGAAAATGTGTAAAAGGCCTTAGAAGCCTTAGTCCATAGTCGCAGGAACCAATGGAAGGATCAGTCTGTTTTTGGACTGCGTTGGTTCTGGATGTGTTCATTCATGAATCTATTCCATAACACTGGGCCGATAATTGGTCTCACCCTTATTGCGTTTCAGTTTTTAGAGCTGGAAATGGTTCAGAAAGGGGCAAACAGAATGGTAGAATAGCCTCACCACCACCACCAAGGAAATGTTCCAACACTGGTGTTGTTGTTTAGTTGTTTAGTCGTTTAGTCGTGTCCGACTCTTCATGACCCCATGGACCAGAGCACGCCAGGTACTCCTGTCTTCCCCTGCTTCCCGCAGTTTGGTCAAACTCATGTTGGTAGCTTCAAGAACACTATCCAACCATCTCGTCCTCTGTCGTCCCCTTCTCCTTGTGCCCTCCATCTTTCCCAACATCAGGGTCTTTTCCAGGGAGTCTTCTCTTCTCATGAGGTGGCCAAAGTATTGGAGCCTCAGCTTCAGGATCTGTCCTTCCAGTGAGCACTCAGGGCTGATTTCCTTCAGAATGGAGAGGTTTGTTCTTCTTGCAGTCCATGGGACTCTCAAGAGTCTCCTCCAGCACCACAATTCAAAAGCATAAATTCTTTGACGATCAGCCGTGTTTGTGGTCCAGCTCTCACTTCCATACATCACTACTGGGAAAACCATAGCTTTTACTATACGGAGCTTTGTTGGCAAGGTGATGTCTCTGCTTTTTAAGATGCTGGTACTTTTTAGCTAAAGGAAAAGGCAAACAAGAGGAGACATGGCAGAGGTGTATAAAAATATCCATGATGTGGAGACAGTGGATAGAGAAAAGTTTTTCTCTGTCACTTATAAATAAGATAACTTGGGGGCATTGAATGTTGGAAGATTCAGGGCAGGCAAAACAAAGTGCTTATTCACATGGCACATAGTTGACAGAACCACAGGAGGTACTGATGGCCACCACCCTGGATGGCCTTCAAAGAGAAGAAGACAATTTCATGAAGGAGAAGGCTATCAATGGCTACTAGCTACAAGGGCTACCCACTGTCAAAAGTAGTATACCTCTGAATACCACTTGCTAGGAACAGCAAGAGGAGAAGGCTGTTGCACTCAGATCCTGTTTTGTGGGATTCCACTGTGAGAACACAGTGCTTGATGGACCTTTGGCTTGATCCAGCAGATTTATTTAAAACGCTCGTTATTTCTGTACATATTTTTTTCACAAAATATGCACTGTAAAAAAAAGAGAGACAACCTTGAAAACACTCATATTGGTAAACACTTTGGTGCATTTTAAAACCTAGAACTATGTGGCAAAATTGAGAGAAGTGCGAAAACCAGAAGATAACTGTGTTAGTTCAAGAAACATGAACCAGGTCAGTTTGCTTTAAAGGCCAGGCCAAACAAAACCCTGAAACTCCTCATGCCGCAGGTAAGAAACAGCTCAAATATGTCTTTATAGCCAATATTATATGAAGAAATGTTTTTTAAACTCCAAGGAAAATATTTTCTCCTCTCCTGCTGTTAGCTTATTTTCCCCAAGTAGCAAATTAGAAGGTTTGGGGGAAATGGGTGAAGAAAGATGTGAAGGAGGAATAAAATTCTAAAGTCGAACCTCAGTTTATTATATGGAATATGGTTTTGTTTGATGGCTTTCTTTTCATGCTCTCATTGTGATACATTTCTGTCAGAGACAATGTAGACAGGCAAAGAGTATTTTCTGAGAAAAGTACTTCCCTGAGCAAAGGAGGAGAACTAATTTAGACAGGCTCTACAAAGAGCTCTATGTGGGCAGGCCTTTGCTGGAGTCCAATTAGAGTGAATGGAGTCCTGCTAATCCACCCACATGCTAGCAATTTCAGGATTGCAACTGCAATTCCGTGCCTGTGTTTTATTTTGGTGGGTTGTTGTTTTTTAGCATGGCCGTTTTAATCAACCAGCCTAAGGTCTAGACCTCAATAAGGTTTCAGACTGCATCTGAGCAGCACCACTTTAGATGCATGAGGACTTACATGAATAACTGCTCTTCTGTATACTAAAATAAAAATAATTCCCAGAGTTACATGTTCAGCAGATGGGATTTAGTTTTCCCCCAGAGGTGCTGGTTTTCTATATAGAAGGATTTCCCCCTATGAAGGAGCATTCAATCACATATGTCCCTACTGTCATTTGAAGGAGTACAGCCCAAGACTATATCAGTGAGAGGTAGGATGGATTTTCTTAGCATTTTTGCTTCTCGTGTTGCTGAGCCTTCCTGATACCACCCTCGATTCCCTTCCTTTGACCAGGCAAACTCTCCCATCTGCATGACTTCCGACTTGTAGCTAAAAGCCTTCATAATAGTCACTGCAGTATACCAGCTCTATAAATGGTGCATTTTAAAATGCACACTTAAAAACTAGGAAAATACTGCCCTCATCCTATTATTGCGGTAGCAACAAAATAAATCTGCCATGCTAGTATTTGTCTGTTTGATAAAACAAAGTTTCTGGTATATTTTCTATGCATCTATGAACCCAGCAATCTACCCATTTAAATTGGCCAACTCTGTGACATTAGACCATGCAAACATTTTTGTTCCTGACTGTGGAATGAACACACACACACACACACACACACTTATATATAGGGTGGCACTACAACCAGGTACTTTGGCCACCTCATGAGAAGAGAAGACTCCCTGGAAAAGACCCTGATGTTGGGAAAGATGGGGGGCACATGGAGAAGGAGACGACAGAGGACGAGATGGTTGGATAGTGTTCTCGAAGCTACCAGCATGAGTTTGACCAAACTGCGGGAGGCAGTAGAAGACAGGAGTGCCTGGCATGCTCTGGTCCATGGGGTCACGAAGAGTCAGACACGAATAAACGACTAAACAACCAAACAAACAACAACAACCAGGTATCTGCAGTAAACAGGAACATACAAAATGAACTGCATTTTCTAAAAGACAACATCCTCCACAACTCCTCAGGATATAGTACGGAAAGGGGGTCTGATTTTTTATGATATGGCATCTGTCAAAGTAAGGTGACAGTATCAAATTCCCAAACATTAATAGTCTTCTGACTTTATCTTTCCTAATCTGAACTTGGAGCTTCATACTAACACTGGACAAATGACTAACAAAAGAAGAACGAGAAAAAAGAAAGAGAGCTTGACTGCTTGGCCTCCACAAATGTGTCCTGCCATAACTGCTTTATTGTTGCTCCTCGTTTGCACACTTGTCAGAACTGTTTGCTTAACGTTTCTTATCGTCCATTTATTAGCAGAAAGGAACCATAGATTTCCCTGCCTGTTTTCATTGTGCGGATGAAGTCTGTTAAGGAGAACCCATTTGTAAGGGCTGTTCTCTTCCCAAGTCTCAAATGCTTACACTTGACCACATTAATTTCCGTTTTAACCTGGCAACTGATTTATTGACAATGTGGCAAAGCAATTAGCAGGGGACTCAACCTAGTGTTGCTTTGGTGGTAAACAGTATTTAATCTGCCCGTTTCTATTAAGCAAGGCCAATTACACGGTTACATGCTGGAACTGAGCATGGCAGGTATATCAAGTCCCAATGCTTTTATGTTGTTCTGGTAGCACTGCCCTGGGGTATGCTTAATGGGAGTGCCAACACAACCCCGAGCCCAGAGACATCTCTGTGATGCCGATAAGAGTCTGAAAATGTAGCTGTGAAAGGAGAGCCAGAGAATAAAGAGCCGAAGGGACGAAATAAGTATCACAGACAAATGTGTACGACAAAGTTTCAATGGCTGCTTCTTCAAGGCAAAATGACTTCTGTAGACAGTAGTTTTCATCAGCGGTGGGAGAAAGGTGCTTAGACCTCCCACCATCCACTAATTTTATCTACTGCAGCTCCCCCCAACAGCGTTCCACATATTCAGGAGGCAAACAAAAGTCCGAAACCCTGCAGGGAGGAAAATGAACTGTGACTAGAGATGGACAAGCATTCAGGATAACCTGAGATTACCTCAGAAACTACTGACATTCTAGAAAGAAAGAAAGAAAGAAAGAAAGAAAGAAAGAAAGAAGACTTCTTATTTTGGAAGATCTCAGGCCATTTTTATAAGCCAGTTCAGGCCTCATAGAAATGACCTTGTCCCACTAACTCCCTGTCTCTGCCGCCTAACTTCCTAAACTTCCTTACCTTACCTCACCTGACAAGCAGCAGCAGGACCAGGAAATCTTGGCCACCGTAGCTCATGCAGTGGTTACTTCAAGACTACATCCCTGCAACGTGCTCTTTGTAGTGCTCCCCTTTTGCTTGCTCCGGAAGCTGAAGTTAGTGCATAATGCTGCAGCGTGGTTGCTGACAGGAGTGAGACCTTGTCAGCATATAACATCCTGGCTCAGAGACCTGCACTGTTTGCCAATTTGCTGCTGAGCTAAGTTCAAGGTGTTACTATTAGTATGTGAAGGCCTTTGGTCGGGGTTTAGTCTGATTCTTTTCTTTCTGTATAAGAACAAGCATTAAAGACACCTCCTAGCCTGCTCACAGGTCCTTTATAAGACCAGTGGTAACAGTTGGCCCTGGAGAATATTAACCACTCTCAATTTTACCCGTGGACTGCCATCTGTCCAGATTTTAATTTGCTCTGAACTAATTTTAAGATGTACAGTCATACCTCGGGCTGAAGTAGCTTCAGGATAAGTATTTTCAGGTTGCACGCTGCGGCGACCCGGAAGTAACGGAGCGCATTACTTCCAGGTTTCGCCGCTTGCGCATGCGCAGACGGTCAAAACAGCGTTACGCGCATGCGCAGAAGCGGCAAATCACAACCCGTGCACGCGCAGACATGGGTTGTATTCACTTCTGGATGCATTCGCATCCAGAGGTACCACTGTATTTTAATTAATTGATTGCCTGTTTTTATGTTCTTATGTTCTTTGTATACTGTGTTAGTTTTATGTTAGCTGCCCTGAGCCCAGCTCCGGCTGGGGTACAAATAATTTATTATTATTATTATTAATTTATTATAACAACTTGGTGCCATTTTACTTACAAGATGGTCTTGCCCCCATTTGCTGTTACAGGTGATGCATAATATTTATTCCACATTTGTAACAAGTCAATCTCTTGGTGTGACAGTACTCACACTCTGGAACTCCCTGCCAATTAACCTTCACCGTACTCGTTTTGGTACCTGCTTAGGAAAGCCTATGCAGACATGCAGAATTTTGACATTTGTTTTACTCTGATTTTTAGCTTATTGTTGATTTTAATTATGTTTTGAATAATTGTTTTCAACTGCTCTTCACTGATACTTTTATTGTTCCATTCTTTTTTTGCAAACCACTTTGAGGGGTTTTTTACAATCAAGCAGTACACAAATCTTGTGAAATAAATAAATTCTGCATGATCAAAAGATAAGATGCAATCAAGATATAACACCTGGGACACTGAACCACGAATGTGAGGAAAGTAGAAAAACCACAGTTCAATATTATGCTTTTTCACTTTTTGCCCGTTTATGTTCGTTCAATATCCCAGGTGCTGTTTCTTGATTTAATATGATTGGCCTAGGTTTCGTTTTACCTCACTGCAAAAACTCTTCAGGAGTGCCTCATTGCAGAAGATTTACAGATTATAAAATATTTAAGACATTGACTCAGATTTCCCAGAGTTACTTCTATTGACGTCAATAAAGAAAGGGTGATTTTGGCTTGGAAATAGGTTTTCTGCTAGGAAGTAAATAACAGGACAATAAACCTGCCCTTGGAGATTCATATTAGCATACTGAGGTTTGTAAGTAACTATGTTATGCACTTAAAAACATATTTGAACATCCAAATATAAGATCTCATTATTTTTTAAAAAAACAAAAAAAATCTATCTAATCTTTTTTATAAAGTTTTAATGTACTGCATAGCGTTTTTCATATTTTGTCCCAGCACAGTTGAAGTTGGAGAGGTGCAAACTCTATACAGAGAATGCTCTTTTGAAATCCTGGCACAGAACAACTTCTGGTTTTCTCTCCATCCTCCTTCCCTGCAAAGATACAGTGGACACTTAAGGAATTCTCAGGCACTAGATACTTAAGGCTGAGGGGAGAAGTTGGAGACTAGAAAATTTTACATTTCTAGGACTCAGCATCAAACAACTAGATCTTCCTGTGTTTTTTCAGTTCTGCTTATACTAAGAGACAGGAAGTCTCTGATTGACAGGAAATTTAGGGCTCACAGAACAAAGGACAGTTGCACTCTAGCACTGGATTTTAGGTTACAGGAAAAAATAATAACGATGGGCAGGGGCGGACTTTGGTCTTTCCGATTCCAGTGGTGCCCTGTGCAAGGCCAAAATTTGGTACTCCCCACCTTGTCTTCATTCTGTTCAATTCACTATGTCACAGTTACAATGCCCTCGTGAGTGGGCAATGGTTCACCAAGACTATCAGTCTGACCTGATACAAGGCAGCTTCCTCTGTTCCTACACGACTCAAATGAACTGAAAATAAATTCGCCATTAACTTCTCTCTGTTATGTCTACAGTAAGTGCGCCACACAAGGACATCGTAAACATTATTGAAACATGTTTCAATTTGCAACCGCCTGCTGGCTTACTGGGATAATGAGAGGAAAGATCTGCATGGCAGATGGCTCAATGGATGACTGTCTCTCAGCCATCCAGCTCTATCCATCCCTAGATTAATTTCGCTGTTGCGAGGGACAACGGAGGTGCTGAAATCTAATCATTTCGACTTTGAAAATCTTCCTTCTTTCAAGAACCCAACCCAACCTGCATGGAAAGTTATTTGGCTTGAAGACGGCATAGAAGGAAAGTCTCTTCTCCCCAGCTCCTTCAGACTCCAGAACCTAAAAAGGGACTTGCATCCTTTACACCACTAATGGAGTGCTCCCAGCTTATCCACCCCACCTCTGTCAAAAAAAATAAAAATACAAAAGGAGTGGTGGGATAGGATTAAAGAGATTTCTAGATGCAGAAGAAGAGCTATTCTGGACATTTGTTATTGTTTAGTCGTTTAGTCGTGTCCGACTCTTCGTGACCCCATGGACCAGAGCACGCCAGGCACTTCTGTCTTCCCCTGCCTCCCGCAGTTTGGTCAAACTCATGCTGGTAGCTTCGAGAAAAGCTGGACCATAAAGAAGGCTGATCGCCGAAGAATTGATGCTTTTGAATTATGGTGCTGGAGGAGACTCTTGAGAGTCCCATGGACTGCAAGAAGATCAAACCGATCCATTCTGAAGGAAATCAGCCCTGAGTGCTCACTGGAAGGACAGATCCTGAAGATGAGGCTCTAATACTTTGGCCACCTCATGAGAAGAGAAGACTCCCTGGAAAATACCCTGATGTTGGCACAAGAAGAAGGGGACGACAGAGGACGAGATGGCTGAATAGTGTTCTCAAAGCTACCAGCATAGCGGTCAACATTTCCCTTTTTTCAAGGGAAATTCCCTTATTCTGAATAGGATTTCCCCTTAAAAAGGGGGGAAAGTTGACAGCTATGATTCTGGATCAGGCCAAAGGCCCTTCTAGTCCAGCATTCTGTCCTCTGATGCCTGTGGGAAGCCCTTAACAGGACATGAGCACAATAGTCCTCTCTTGCCGTAGGATTTCTGTAGCTGACAGCAGAACCCAAACAAGTATTACAAACATCTAGCAATCATCAGGAAAATTAATCAATTTACTCCAGATGGTGGGATCTCCCTCATCTTTGGAGTTGGGGAGTGGAGATAGAATCACAGAATCGTAGAGTTGGAAGGGACCATGAGGAACATCTAGTAATACACATTGCACCCTGTGCACTAAGTTTCACCACTTATAGTTTACAGTTGTCTCACAGTACATCATAGATTTAGTCCCTGGTTGACGCTAAGGCAAGTGAGGGCAAGTGAGATTGAAAGGAAGGAAGGGGAAAACAAGTAAGTGATTGTTTTCTGGGAGGAGTGCCAATAAGTCACTGGCAAAGGGAGGCTCTGACACTCTCTTTCAGCTCTAATTGTAACCCACTATGTGCCCAATATTTCTCTGTGATGTTCATATTGGCAGATTGCACCGTGCCATTACACACACACACGTTTATTGGTTTTTTTAACATATCATTTTCAACAATCATATAACATAACTTCTTATCTTATACAATATTTTAGACTCCCGTCAACTCCTCTGATGATTTTTCATTCTCTATTACGTATTCTGCATTTCTTAATTTCTCTATTACCCTTAATTATCATTAACTAGTAACTCTTCCCATAGTCTTTCCTGCAATATTTCAAATAGTCCTCCTTACAAAACTTATTGCAGTCCTCCTAGCATAATCTGTTCATTACAATTACGTACTTTTCAAATAGTTCATATATTTACTCCAGTCTTCTAAGAATCTCTGGTCCCGCAGGTTTCGAACCCTTCCAGTTAATTTATCTAATTCTGCATAGTCCATGCTCTGTGCCATTTTCAACCCCTGTATGCCCGCCTGCATGTGCCAAGGGAAAGGTGTACAAAGGGAAATGCTTCTATGAAGATCAGAACAACACTGAGATGCCATCACTTTCCTTTCCTCTCTCCTGTCCTTGTCTTTTTGCAGTTTTTCTCCTTCATGCTCTCTGCAGTGTGGCTGAATGTTGATGAGCCAAAGGGCCAGATAAAACTAGGAGATAATGAGCAAATATTTTCCCATTCTTGGTGGCTGTCCTTAACAAGCATTGATTATTTCTTACTCATCTACTCCCCTAATTTTAATGAATGGCCACTCTGACAGGTGCTGAATATTTATCACTGTACTGCATTTGTTTAACCATAATATAAATATTCCGATTAATCTTTCTGCCCAATTGACTTTCAGAATGCAAATGGAATGGAAATGGGGGAGAGATGATTGGATGTCACAAACTGCTTAATTGATAATGGTGACATATCTGGAGCAGCAGTACAGGGAAAGGGAAGAATATTCTGAAAACAGTCATTTGGGAATATTTAAGATAGGAGAACAACAGCAGAGGTCATTGCCAGGGAAACAAAAATCTTGTGCCACAACACTTTCCACAATGCAAAAATCCACAGATCCTGGCCTATTTTTATTATTGGGAAAGGTAAACAAAGTTTTTAAAGGGCAGTGGTGATTAATTGATTTTTAAATATTTATATGCCACTTTTCTGGGCAAAGATCATGCATAATGACAAGCTCTGAGCATTCTTTAAAAACTAACTTAAAGTTACTCAGAAATGTGAGAGGATTATTTAAACAAAATTACTGCTTTTCCACCTACCTGCCTAATTATATATATTGGTTTCTGTTACTCAAAAAGAAATTGATAAGTATAATCTAATTTTCAGACAGATGAATCAAAATTTTGCTTGATCTAGCTTGGCTTTTTCATCTGAAACCACATAGAATTTCTAGTCTACCCTGTTATCCCAGGTAATAAAGCAAGAATAACCATTGAGGGCTGTTGATTATGGTGGATCTGTTGACTGGAATTTGGGCTAAGTGTCATGCGCTCTTGAGGGCTGCAGCTCATCTGTGAATCTGGTTTTAACAAACCTCTGCCTGCTCACCCAGCTGGGTTGAGCAATTTCCTTTTGACAGGTGAATAAAACATCATTAATTTATTTCATTCTTGCTGTCAAGGCAAGAGTGTTGGCGAATATAGCAGGCTTTGTGTCTGGGCTGTTTACATTTCATGACAATTTTGCTGTGCTAAATTAAACCCATACTAGCAGTGAGCGGAGCAGCGCTGGAAATGACCCTCTCTGTCTGAAGCTTCTCACGAGCCTAATAATCTTGTTATCTCTGCTAGCAAGCAGCTGCCGTAAATGTGATCTAGGACATAATTTGACCAATAGACCCTTGAATCCTAAAAAGTTATGCTTCATATAAATTTGACAAAAACTGACCCCCGAGTCCAATTTTGCCATTCCTGTTTGAACAAAAATCCCACAGTAAAACTATGGTTGGAGAAAAATTTGAGGTGGGTCTGTTTCACCTGGCTCTTTGTATGGCCTCTATAAAATCCCTGTCTCCACCATCTTGTAAACATGTTCCTGAAAACTACAATAAAAAATAAAAAATGGCCCCACTCTATATTGCAATATTTTCCCTTCAGTTAACTTTTGGAAAAGTAATACGTTGTCTCATTTCTGTAAATCTTAATAAACTGTATTACACCTTGCATTTCTGCAAGTTCTTCATTTAACTCGACTAAAACGGCCAGTTAAAATGAACTACTTTCTCGGTTGTTTCATTTTAATTACGCCGATAATTCATACCCTTCCCTCCCACTTAATTCTATTCTACCTCATATCTAAAAGCATTCTTCATTTCAAAAAGAGGAATAAACTTTTAGTTTGGTAAACTGTGGAATGAGGGATGTGACATGGTGAAGAATCAACTCATTAAGCTTTAATGCTACTAATACTCTTAACACTAATTACCCGTTCATTAAGTTGATTGTCTTAGCAGAAAATCTGCGTCCACTTCTCTGCTGGTTCATCACATTAATTTGCATGTTCTAAGAAAGAGAGAAACAACAAAAATTAACAAAGTTAATTCTAAAAGACTTGAGAGGATATGACACTGTTAAAATTATTTATTGGTGGGAAGTTACTTAACGCTTCACCGCTGCTCTGAATGTTGCCATTTCATATCATGTCTTGAAAGACAGATGTATCACGCTGCTCAAGTAATCAAATTTATTAATATGAGGACATTGCGTCCAGGGAATTTGAATGTGCAGAAAGATGCATTTAAGTCCATCAACTACTTGTGGAAGAATAAGCAAAAGACTGATAGTTACATTGGGATACAGGGTCCAGGTAACATCACAAAAAGGTCTCTAAATAGGAGAGAGTATTTCTTATCCATAGCTGCTCTTGTACATAGCTTTCATGCCAGATTTATTGAGGTTTTCCATTGACACATATATTTCACATAGGAATCAGCTCCAAATGAGCTGATTGCCTGGTATAAATATTCTGAGGTCTCATTGACTTGAGTGAAAGAGTTGTACAATCCAGAACAATCAAATGTGTGGCTTGGGGCAGAACTCAATATTACAAAAACAGCAAAGCTTTAAATGGCATCTGCCACCCCCTCCATAATGTGTGATACAGCTTCTTCCATCATTCTCAGGTGCGATTACACTGTTTGTTTGCCCAGCCGCCGCCAGTGATGTGGAGTAGAGATGGGCGATTGTGCAGCATAATGGTGTTAGGAGGGGAATAGGGAAAATTTCCACCATGTTTCAGTAGCAACTCCAAATAACACTGTCAAATAACTCTGAAAATTAAGCACATTGGGCTTGATTCATTCATTGCACTTAATACCCATTGAAATCAAATGAATTTAACCCAGCTATGACTAACTTTTTAGACTGATTTCAGTGGGAACTAAGGGCAAGAAACTTAGTCCAGATCCAACCCATTATACCAGCCCATTTTAAAGATAATAATTGCAAATTATCTGAAAAGTGAGTTTCAGCTGAAGAAAGACGCCAAAGATTAGGTGCAGGACCCAAAATTAAGCATTTGGAGGTCCCACTGATTTCACAGAAAGAGACAGCTTTCAGTTGAATTAATTGGAGTTTAAGTTTGGCTGGACTCTGGAATATATTTCTAGCTCCAATTCGTATTTGTTACTATACTTTTGAATACTTTCAAATTGCTATGCCACTCATTGCCCAGTCTGTGTAACTACCCCCCACTTTATGTAAAACTTACAAAGTACTTAATTAGCTATTAACTCTGAAAGAGAAATAGTGTCCAATGGGAAGGTAACTTATAATTATATAGTGTTATGATCAATTAGTTTTGCCACAGAGCGTGTGTGTGTTGGGAAGGTTGCTCAACACCTGCCCTTGGAAGACTGACAATTGACCATCCATCATGATGTAAGGAGCATGTCCCTGAAGGCCATATGGCCAGGTTAACAGCGGAAAGTCTATGTCTACGAGCACGTAATTAATGAGTGCAGATAATTATTATCTGTTCTGTAGAGATGAGATTATGTAATACTGAAAGAAGATACAGTCCAACTCATTTGCAGGAAAATGGGAATGATGATATTCCTTATCTACAGACGTCTGATTGTGGCTTAGAGAAGATGATTAGATGTTAACACAAGTTCAGAATTACTGGTTTTTAGCATCAAATGGCATGCATCTGAATTCAGCAAAGCCTGTAATAAGTTTACAATGCATAATGCTGTATTTCATAAATGAGAGCATTCATACTTACGCTAATAGTATCTTATTTTTTTGTGTTGATAAGATCAACTTTTCGCTGAGAGTTTTATCTTAATCTCTTCCCCATCTAATTTTAGATTTATCTCCCACCATGTGCAATTTCATCCAGATCTTGAATATTAGATAATAATCCAAATATTTATATATATATACACATCCCACATGTGGGAGAGGCTAATCACAGATTTCTCATCTGTGAGAGAGAGACATGAGAGAAATTTGGAAACAAAGCCCACCCACAGGCGAGGCTGAGCAAAAGAGCTGGTAAACACATCTTGGGGTGGAAAAAGAGTTGGTGAGCATGGGCTCCTCTTTCTCCTCCCATCAATTCATGGCTTGTACATTTTCATTTATCAGCGTAGGGATAGAAGATTTAAAATAGATGCAAGCGCAAGAGACCTTGCACAATTTCCGGCTAAGCTTTTCTATGATATTACCTTGGATTAAAAACTCATAAAAATGGGATGGTGGGGACGGGGAGAAATACTGACCAGATGGCAGCTCTCGTTTTCAGGTTTTGCCACTCTACTCCGACAGGATTGTGCTGCTTTGTGGTGAGATTCATTAGAGTTGAATTGGCTGTTTTTAGAAAGAAGAACCAGCTAAATTGCTGAGGTGTAGAAATTTCTACTCATATCATAATTACAGGTGGGCAGTGGAGTGTGTAATTAGTAATTTAGGTAAAGAAGGATGTTTCGAGAGCAAGCAACAGTGATTTCCCTCTGCTAGTTTTTGTTGCCCTGAAAAAGCCTTTTAAAATATTGTAACAACAAAAATTAAATATGTGAGGCTGCCCTTTTATGGGTGTTCTGTAGGTATGTTTTAATCATTGTATTTTAATTGTTGGCTTTTTCATGGTTTTATTAATATTTTGCTTTGCTTTGTTTTGTTTTTTAAAAAAGCAACCAGTGTTTTCATTGAAAAGGAAAGCGTTCCCACACTATATTATATGGAAAGGAAAAGAGTAACAAGCAAAAACAGGAGAACTGAAACATGGTTGGAAATATACAGCATTCATATATCATTATGATGTGCTTTATCCCATTACAATGGGCATTACACCACACTCCTATGTATCATTGTACACCTCCCTAATCGCCAATCGCCAGGGGTTCCAGGCACTTACTCAGGGTTTGGTTTCCTCGCAATCAGGGATGGCAAAAACTGTGGTGTATTTAAGATATATGGTTCATTTACACATATATACAACCGGAGCCTATGATGGAAGGGGTCACAGCATTAACACCCCAAGAAGGTCTTCCTTATCCCATGCCTGAAGTCTTGTATTCAAGCAGAAATCAAGCATGTCTCTCTCTCTCTCTCTCTCTCTCTCTCTCTCTCTCTCTCTCTCTCTCTCTCTGGCTTCTACCTCCTTCGAGCTTCTAGCTCCTACCTCAACTCTGGCCCTTCTCTTTCTAACTACCAGCAAATTGAGAGAGACATTTGGTACAGAGCCACAACCATTGTTGCCTTGTTACCAAGTCAACACGTATCTGGGCCTCACCAGGAAGTTGGCCTGGCTATGCCATGAATCATAGAATCATAGAATCATAGAATCATAGAGTTGGAAGAGACGACAAGGGCCATCGAGTCCAACCCCCTGCCAAGCAGGAAACACCATCAGAGCACTCCTGACATATGGTTGTCAAGCCTCTGCTTAAAGACCTCCAAAGAAGGAGACTCCACCACACTCCTTGGCAGCAAATTCCACTGTCGAACAGCTCTTACTGTCAGGAAGTTCTTCCTAATGTTGAGGTGGAATCTTCTTTCTTGTAGTTTGGATCCATTGCTCCGTGTCCGCTTCTCTGGAGCAGCAGAAAACAACCTTTCTCCCTCCTCTATGTGACATCCTTTTATATATTTGAACATGGCTATCATATCACCCCTTAACCTCCTCTTCTCCAGGCTAAACATGCCCAGCTCTCTTAGCCGTTCCTCATAAGGCATCGTTTCCAGGCCTTTGACCATTTTGGTTGCCCTCCTCTGGACACGTTCCAGTTTGTCAATGTCCTTCTTGAACTGTGGTGCCCAGAACTGGACACAGTACTCCAGGTGAGGTCTGACCAGAGCAGAATACAGTGGCACTATTACTTCCCTTGATCTAGATGCTATACTCCTATTGATGCAGCCCAGAATTGCATTGGCTTTTTTAGCTGCCGCGTCACACTGTTGGCTCATGTCAAGTTTGTGGTCAACCAAGACTCCTAGATCCTTTTCACATGTACCGCTCTCAAGCCAGGTGTCCCCCATCTTGTATTTGTGCCTCTCATTTTTTTTGCCCAAGTGCAATACTTTACATTTCTCCCTGTTAAAATTCATCTTGTTTGTTTTGGCCCAGTTCTCTAATCTGTCAAGGTCGTTTTGAAGTGTGATCCTGTCCTCTGGGGTGTTAGCCACCAGATGATTTTGAATCCTTGCTTAAATTTTAACACTTGCTGGATTCAGGAATTCAAGGGATCTTAGCATAGAGCCTACCCCCTGCCCACAACTCATAACAGTGTTAAGTATAATTGTTTAATTGCACACTGAAATGAAAAAGGCATGTATGGGGTTTAACATTGGGAAAGATCTATTGAAGCACACTGAAGCTCTTGATAAGTTTATGAGTTTATAAAAGGATGCTGACAATTAACTGTTGATGTTCTCTGCTATCTTACACATTAGTGTTTAACCTTAGATCACCTGATTAAGGCATTCAGTTGCAAATCTCCATTGTGAAAGGGTTGCATTGTCTTTTGTTCTCAGGTACAGTGAGAGAAGGATGTGATAATGAAGCCTCTCCAAGAGCTGCATAGCCTTAGGCTGGATGTAAATTATGGGAGAGATAGAGCTTTGATTTTTGCTCTGATTGTTATTATGTTATATATTTAAGAAGAAGAACCTATGTTTGAATATGCATTTGCTTTATTCAACTTTCTGGGTGTATGGTTAATGTTTTAGTACCTATTTTGAAGAAGTTCTGGTTAGCAAAGCTTTGAATCATAATAATTATGGGTCTGGACAATTTTTATTCCAAAAGGAGCCAGCTTTGAGGCATCCAATTGCGTCATGCTGTGCAATATTAATATCTGCAATAAACAGTATGTTCACTCAGAACATACAGAGAATGTGTGCTTTGGATTATAGCCTATCAATGCTTAATTAGGACGAAGTGTCACTGAAGTCAACAGTCCTTACTTGTGAGTATACATATATAAGATTGCATGGCACATTTTCAAACACTGTCAATAAGCATAACTGGCCACAATACATTTTTTTCAGAAGGAAAATATAGATGAATGCATGCCAGCCATCTCCTTCTCTGAACGAGTCCAAATCATTTCACATTAGAGTTTGTTCTGTTTGGCTTATCCATTCAAACCAAGGATCACATTTACCTACACTTACCATTGTTCTGTTCTTGAATGCTTCCCAGAACAATGGGGACCCTGGAAGGGTGGCGTTGAAATGAAATAAATAAAGAAGGCATCCATTGCTTAGGCTCAATGGAGATGCTTGAAAAGTACAAGGACACCAGCTTTCTCCTCTTACATAATGGGCCATTAGCTAGCTTTATAGTACACTTTGTACCCGACTGCAGATGGGTGTCCTCAACAACAGAACCACAAGACCCACTTTCATCCTCACTGAAGAGACAGAAGAGACAGGCAAGAAAGGTGGGGTGTCTTGCTACAGCTGGAATATGCAACTGCACAGCCAAAAATGCCAGGAAGAATCATCGTTTCCAAATCAGAAAAAGGTGTGGAGCCATTTCCCTGCTGCTCTGAATAATGCATAGAATAACTCTGCGAACATGTCCAACTGGGCTGCTTAAAATAGCTAGGAAACCAAGAGTCTTTGACCTTTAAAATATCCCTCATGTTGCGGCTGCTGCCAGGATTGATTTTTTTTTAAGGGGGAGGGGACTTGTTCGTCTCCACAAACCAACATGTTATAGCAAATAAGTTTGGATGTCCCCAACCACTACATACTGCTCATGATCTTAGGCTGCAATCCTTTGTTGTTGTTTAGTCATTTAGTCGTGCCCGACTCTTCGTGACCCCCTGGACCAGAGCACGCCAGGCACTCCTGTCTTCCACTGCCTCCCACAATTTGGTCAAACTCATGCTGGTAGCTTTGAGAACACTGTCCAACCATCTCATCCTGTGATGGCCTGGGAATCCGATTCAGAGGCTGAACCGGAGGAATCCCAGCCTGCACAGGAGTCCCTGCCTCCAGGGCCGGCTGAACTGGGGCAGGGCCTTGATTCTGAAGCGCCTGCACCTGTGCCGGATCCTCAGGAGCAGGCACCAGGTGAATCCACTCTGGCTCCGGAGGTGGTTGAGGACTCAGTGCCTACAGGTGAGTCTCCCCGTGGGTCCAGTAACCCTTCAGCCTCTCCTGAACTGCAGAGGCTCAGGGCAGAGAGGCGAAGGGAACTGGTTTCTCCCAGGAGGAATGCTCGCCTTAAGGCCAGGAGAGGCGGGTCTCCTGGGGGCCGGGACTGCCCCTGGCCTCAGAGAAGATAAAGGCCAGTCAGCCCGGTCCCAGGTGGCGGGAGCAACGTCGTTGATGAGCTGTTTCGGCCAGCATCCAGTCCTGTTCCCCCAGAGTTCCTGTCCTTGCCCAGCTTCTCGCTGTGGACCCTGCTTTGCCCGAGGAGGACTGTCTGGCGACCCTCAACTCAGGTCCTGGACCTCGCCCCACGGTAACCTCCCCCCTGGACCAGCACACATCCTCTGTTGTCCCCTTCTCCTTGTGCCCTCCATCTTTCCCAACATCAGGGTCTTTTCCAGGGAGTCTTCTCTTCTCATGAGGTGGCCAAAGTACTGGAGCCTCAGCTTCACGATCGGTCCTTCCAGTGAGCACTCAGGGCTGATCTCCTTAAGAATGGATATGTTTGATCTTCTTGCAGTCCATGGGACTCTCAAGAGTCTCCTCCAGCGCCACAATTCAAAAGCATCAATTCTTCAGCGATCAGCCTTCTTTATGATCCAGCTTTCACTTCCATACATCACTACTGGGAAAACCATAGCTTTTACTATACAGACCTTTGTTGGCAAGGTGATGTCTCTACTTTTTATGCACTAACTCGGGAGTGGGGCTGGGTGAGCCTGTCAAGTTCTGGTTCTCTCCTTTTCTTACTTTTCTAGCCTGAAGCTCAATTCCCATGCTGATTTGCCATTTTGTTGATTTAAATAAAGTACTTACGAATATTTGTCAGCGTTTTAGTGCATTTTCTCCTATTTGTACGCAATTTCACCTAACACACACATTTCCCCCTAATAGAATACAACGTTGTATGTTGTTTGTATTAATATGCACACTTTTTGCACACTTTATCCTGGCTAGAGAACTGAATTGCAAAATTCGGATAACTTCACATTTCAAAGGGTGGCTGTGTTTTGTTTAGGAAAGTGCAAACTAGGTCAGTTCACCTTTAAATGTGATCGGAATCAAATTTCTGCCCTATGCCTGCTTGGCAGTAAATTGCATGGAATACACTGGGACTTATTTCTGCATAGAGATGTATAGGATTGATGCTAGTAGAACAAATCATTACAATGGTGCATAATTATCCCCCTAGTAGTTAGAAGCAGTCTTCTGTCTACCCCCAACAGTGCTTGATACCTAAAGGCCATTTCACACATTACACAACAACAACCCCATGATATGCTACCAGGCACACTCAAAATATATAGTACATATTTATAATATATGTATCATTGCATTCACAGCTGTGCAGTAGATCCAGACAATCTAAAGCATTTGACTTAAGCCCCTTGGATTTCAATGGAAGACATTTAACCATCTGCATTAACTCTCCCACTGCGATTCATGGATCTTAACATGCCTCATTTTGCCTCTATCATACTTCCTTGACTTGGTGCCTTCCAGACATCATTGGACTACAACTCCCATCACCCCCAACTATTGGCCCTGCTGGCTGAGGCTGATGGAGACTGTAGTCCAAAACATCTGGAGTGTGTCAGGTTGGGGAAGTCTGGCAGGGTGCTCAGGTACAGAGCTTTAAAGATAACACTTTTTATGCCGGTTCACCACCACTAAGCTGTGACTCCTTCCTACACCATCATGGCTTGAATCCATTTATCAAGGACCAATTTAGTGTTTGGTTCAAACCAAACATAATCACATTTAAGATGGAGAGATTATGCACAAGTTTCCTCACTGAAATCAATGGGAGCCAAAAGTCCATAGCTGTGAAAAGTCCATAGCTGTGGTTGACTGTTGTCCAATATTTCTAGATATTTTACTGTAAGTATTGTTTAGAGATGACATAAGTGGGAAGAAAGTGGATATTTTAATCAATAGTGCTATATTCAACAGGTTCCGCCACCGGATGATAACAGAGGCAAAATGATGGGTTGTTTTGTAACCTTTAACACTTTTGATAGATACTAGTGTGTGGGATAATAGGCTGACATTTGGTTATATTTCTCTGCGACAAGCTTTTCTGTGTATTCATGAATAAGTAATATCAACAAGTTGGTGTATGACTGGCATGTGTCATAAATTATACATGTCAGACCTGCTGGTCTTTGTATGAGGATGTTTTATGCATCACATTTTTCCGGTTGAGATGGATGGCATAATAAATCAAAATCACTTTCATTCATTTCTGATTACTTTCTGTGTCTGATCTGTGTTAAAGATTGTTGACATCTCTTGAGGACACTGGAAGATCAACAGGTTTGTGTCAGAAAGTGTGCCTGTCGTACCAATGTTCTGACATGGGAGAGAAAAATAATCTTTCTGAAGACCCCAACTTTCCCATGGTAGATGGTATAACAAATTGAACAATATTTTATCACTGCTAGAACACACTGACAGCAATGTGGATGATTTTAGAACACAAATGGGTGTATTGGGTGTACTGCCCAGACCTTGAGTTCATCATCAAAGGTTTGCCTCCACGTTCACCCACCTAAACAAGTGAGGAATATGTTAATTATGAGAGGGTCTTTTTGGTGGTGGTGCCCTGGTTATGGAATGCTCTCCCCAATGTTGATCACCCGACACCTACATTAAGATCCTTTTGGTGCAAGGTGAATGGCTTTTTTGTCTCCCAGTTTCTTAACACCATCTTTTGCCCTTGAAGCAGATGATTTCTGCTGGGTTTTAAATGTTGTTATGCTGCTTGTGCCAGCGTAACAGGGTTGTTTAAAATGTTTTAACTAAAGCTTTAATATTTAAACTATATATTATTTGAACTCTACCCAGTTTGTACTACCCAGAGGAATTTGTTGACTGGGCTGTCAGCAAGTTTTCTAAATTAATTAAAAAGATAAATAAATTGGGGACTCACGCAGCACCATTCTCCCCTCTCCTCACTAGCAACGGCATGGGTTACACAGAACAGCAGGGGTGGGGAATGGTACTTGATGCCATAATGATTAGCACCTGTGACCGACAACTGTCAAAGTTCAAAGGCGGTCGCTGTAACTGCCAATCAACTGGTCGTCAGTTAGAGCAACCTCCTCGGAAGATCTGCTTTCCCCTGATTGGTTCAGGAAGCGTGCCTTCGAAGAGGTTCCTTTTAACTGATAGTCAGTTCATCATTGCCTTTAGGGAGCCTCTTTGAAGTCTCTGCAGAGAGGAAAACGCTCACTAAATTGTAGCATTTTGTCCTCTGCAGAGAAATCAGTTTGTAGTCAAAGTGCTGTTCAAAAATATTTTTGTGTATAAAATAATAATCTTCCCAATGCTTTAGATCTTCTTAAGATATGGAGCGAAACAGAAGAATAAAAAAAAGCACTCAAGGAGAATTCAGAATATTTTTCTTAGTCTAATTCCTATAATTCTCTTCTCTCCATTCCCCCTGTCTCTGACAGCAAATATTTCTTTCCCCCATTCTTCCCTTTTCTCTCAAAGAGAAAAGTGTACCTTGTGGCAAAATTCAAAAATAGCTATGTGTGCTCCTTGAAGTCTTTGACACCTGCACAAACTGCCCTGTTTTAAATGAACCCATTTTAGATTAATCAACTTGGAAGGAGAGATTAAAAATCATCAAGCTGGTCTAACAGAACATTGTTCACAGAACTGTTTGCTGCTGCAGCCTGTATAGAGGATCAACACCCCCTATTGTGGAAAGCAGTCTGAAAAATATCAGCTCCTTCCCTGTAACCTTTGAAAAGGGGTAATTTCTCATTTTAACCTTTTTAATCCCCCCCCCGACACTAAGTGCAGCTTTTGCATGTACCAAATGGCATGCTTAATCTAACCAGCGGCTCATTAAGTTGCCAAGCAAAATTCTGTCCTGATGATAGCTTTGCTCCTTTGCTGCTGCTGCCCTCACCCCCTCGCACGCAGCCAAAAGCACAAAGCCCAGTGAATCTCTCTCTGTGTGTGTTTCATTTCCAGTGTGAACATGTGTGTCTGGTGTGCCAGTTGGCACAGTCACAACTCCCAGAACGTGGCAACACTCAAAAGGGCAGCAACGCCATCTCCTCCTTAAATTGCAGGCAGGCCAGTGCATTCTGATGTGTAAAGGTTGTTATTCATTTATCTGGATGAATGACCACCTGCTCCTTTTCCCCAGCAAGCCTTCAGACATGTAGACTTGCCTACAATGCACACCTGTAGTGCTCGATTTTTAGGAGGATGCTTCTCTGCCTGGGCATCTTCCACATGGGTCATTGGCAGGCAGCACAGCTAAGTCTCTCACAGCTTGCGCATTGATCGATTGATTGCACTATGCATTCAGGGGTGGCCAACTCCCAAGAGACTGCGATCTGCTCACAGAGTTAAAAACTGGCAGTGATATACCCCCTTTTTGGGGGTACAGGTCAAAGTTGTTGAGTTTTTTCAGGGAGGAGGTAAAATGTTGAGCTTTTTGGGGGGGAGCCACAGTTGTTCAGCTTCTTTGGGGAGAGTCAGTGATCTACTGCAGACGTCCAGTGATCTACCGGTAGATCACGATCTACCTGCTGGGCATGCCTGCATTAGATCAAAGAGGTAGCCATTATTCAAGAGCCTGGTGAGAAGGGTTAAAGGGCACTGTGGGTGAAAGAACAAATTTAGTTTTTATCCATGAGCCCTCTTTTTCTGTTTGTGTGGATCGAAAAGAAACTCATTTCAAATGCCAGTTCAGCGAAAGGAAAATATGGGAATTAAAGAATTATTCCCGCTGGGATAAGGGCCAGTGGGAGTGTTGGGGAGCACCCTTGGCAGGCTGCCCAGGACCCCTTCCTACCTGGGCATCTTGCAGGTGATGCCCCAAATGGTCACGGTTGGAAGCACCATGTTAATTACCCCCAAATGCAATGCACATGCTAAGTAAAAACATGGCAGAGGCAGCTTTTTACTCACAATGCATTGGAGCTGAAGCTTCAAGCACATAGATTTCCATCCCCCCCCAAAAAAAAAAATTAAGATGGTGGCTGCTGAATGGTACAGAATAGCATCATCAACAAGGGTTCTTCTCCACTCACCAAAGTACTGTTCGCAGGTACTTTACCACAACACCTATCTAGTACTCTGCTTCCAGAATCATTCAGAGATCCTAGCACTCTGATCACGTGATTCCCCTCCTTAAATCCCCACAACAAAGCACTCCATGACCTTGCCCCCATTTCTGTGCCCTTATATCCCAGTACATCCTTACTGTGATCCTTACTTCTCCATCCACAGCTTCAGGTTCCTGCTTCCTCAAATGACTTCATCCTTTCTCCTTTGCTGCCCTTTACGCTTGGAAGGGCCTCTCTGAACATCTGGATGATGCCTCCCTCTCTGACTTTTCTCAGTAATACTCTGAAAAGCCACCGTTCTCCTGAAGACTTTGGCCTGGTCACCTGGATTTGTGGAGCTGAAATAGCCAAGATTCCTTCCCTGCTTATTCCTGCATTCACTTTCTTCTGTGTTATTTAGACAGGGTGTTTTTAAATAAATAAATAAATAAATAAATAAATAGGTTTTTTTGTATCATTTTATGAACCATGGTGGACAACTGCTTTGATTTTTAAAAAATGAAATAGCCGTATATAATATTTGAATAAATAAAAATTAAATAAACATGCTATTCCAAGACAAATGTATATGTTTGAAAATCAGACATGAGGAACAGCTGGATGGAATGAGTGCAAACACTGACAGACTCCTAAGCTCAGTGAAAGGTTAGCTAAAATAAATCTATCCTTTGCTTTTCTCTAGATTATCCTACTGCTACTGACATTAAGCTGGTACTAATGTATATATATCATCCAACAGTATAAGACAACATCAACAGCTTTTCCTTGAAAAGGTTTTTTGAGTATTTCCACATGAAGAACAGAAGGTGGAGCCATTTGCTAACACTAAACCCATATAATTTGTGGATGTCTGCTATTACCTATAGAATACCCTCCTTGTGACTCTGTAAGGTACAAATTGTAGCTGATGTGTCTTGATTTCACTCCAGTCATCCCACCAAATTCCTTTCTAATTATGGGTTATTCATGGGGAAGATTGGGAAGGACACTCCTTAAAACTGAAAGGCTAAACTTGTTACAGTCTAAGCATTTCTCAACCTTGGGTCCCCCAATATTGTTGGACTACAACTCCCATCATTCCAAGCCAGAATAGCCAGTGGTCAAGGAGGATGGGACTTGTAATTCAAGAACATCTGGGAACCGAAGGTTGAGAAAGGCTGGACTAAGTGGAACGTGTGGCCCTCCAGATGTTGTTGAACTACAACTCTCATCAGCACCAGCCACTATACAGCCAACAGCTACTGGGCTGACCATTCTTAATATCTTGCATCTGGCATAGCCAATGGCCGCAAATCTAAACATTCTTCATAGATTGCAGGGAGACCAGGAAAACAGTCTTCTGTGGCATCTTAAGAGCTGTTCCAGCAGAGATGTGTGTTTGCATTAGGTATGGCACTGCCCTTCCTGATCTTCTAATACAGGGGTTGGCAAACTAAGGCCCGTGGGCCAAATCAGGCCCAATTGCCTTCAGGATCCGGCCCACGGACTGTCCATGGATCAGTGTGGGGATTCTGTTCATTCGGGCTGCGCCATATTCCCCCCTGCGCCATTCCATTTTGCCACACACACACACACCGCAGTGGCGCCTCTTCCCTCCCTCCTCCTGGCTTCTCCCCGCCCTGCCTAGAGGAGGAAGGGGGCTGGCTGAGCTGGCTGAGCGCCATTTTAAGCAGCCCCTCTCTGGAGCCAGCCCTTTCGTGCCACTCATCTTCCCTCCACCACCACCACTACCCTGGTGCTCCTGTGGGCCAGAGAGTGGAGCAGACAAGCTCACTCTGCCTACTTCTCGTGGCAGAAGCAGTGGCAGCGGCGGCGACAGCCCCAGGGAAGGTAAGCGCAGTGGCTGGGGGGGGGAGGACTATTTGCCCCCCTCGCCTCTTCTTCCAGCTCCCCCCCCCCCCGCTTCTCCAGCTCACCACAAGGTCTGAGAGACACGGCTAAAAAACCCTTGTTCTAATCTTCTAATTTTCTGTCCATAGACTTCTAATCTTCTAAACTTATATCCACAGACCAAACCACTGTTTTCACCAGGGCAGCTGAGCAGGTTAGTCAATACAGTGGTACCTCGCAAGACGAATGCCTCGCAAGACCAAAAACTCGCTAGACAAAAGGGTTTTTGTTTTTTGAGCTGCTTCGCAAGACGATTTTCCCTATGGGCTTGCTTCGCAAGACGGAAACGTCTTGCAAGTGTGTTTCCTTTTTCTTAACACCGTTAATACAGTTGCGACTTGACTTCGAGGAGCAACTCATAGAACGCGGTGTGGTAGCCTTTTTTGAGGTTTTTAAAGACTTTGGTATTTTTGAAGCTTTTCCAAAACTTTCCCGACACCGTGCTTCGCAAGACGAAAAAATCGCAAGACGACAAAACTCGCGGATCGAATTAATTTCGTCTTGCGAGGCACCACTGTATAGGCAGCTTGGCAGGGGGAGAATGGCAAAGTACGAATTCTCCTTGCAGATTCCCCCTTGCATCTTCTTCCCTAACAGGAGACATTTAGAATATTTCAGACAGACCAGCTGGTCCCTATTCACAAACTATCCGCAAACTGTCATGCATAAAGACATTTTTCTGCCACAAATTTATGCTAGTCACGGGTACTCCACACCTGTTGCCAGCAGAATTGAGAATGGCTCATGTCTCTTGCAATAAAGAAAGGAAACTACTTTTTTTCCTACCCAATAAACTTCAGTCATATTAAATTAGGGAACAGTATATAAATATTAGATACATTCATATCCAATTTGTTCCTTTAAGAAGCAGGACTTGCTTTATTAATCATGGCAAGATAAATTGGTTCCTTAGCTGGGATGTTTCATAAATAGGAGCAGAGGACATTTTTGATCACTTGGAAGACTTTGGCAGTTCAGAAATCCAACCAATGATTAACAGCCCAGTCCTAACCAAACCGACTCAGATGTCCTACTGAATTCAGTGGGGCTTGCTCCCAGGTAAGTGGGGCTTGGATTACACTTATTTCCACAAATTCACTACATAGTGAAATAGACAACAGTGTGCATATGCATGGGCAAAGGTGTGTGGTGTGAGGAGCCATCTTTCACATTGTGAAGGTGATACAATGATGTAAAATAGAAATCCATCTCTTGTTTTGCTACTAGAAGCTGCAAGGTGGGCTATCTCAGCTGGGAATAGGGGGGCTGGGGTTTTATTATCTTTCATTTCATTTGAGGGATAGGATCTTCGTAGGATTCCGGCGTGACCTGACCTACCTCCTGGCCTAAGGTGTGTATTTGGAAAGGTATCCACTTTCCAAATATTCTGACACAATTTTCACTTCCTAGACATCACCTTGCCGACAAAGGCCCGCATAGTTAAAGCTATGGTTTTCCCAGTAGTGATGTATGGAAGTGAGAGCTGGACCATAAAGAAGGCTGATCGCTGAAGAATTGATGCTTTTGAATTATGGTGCTGGAGGAGACTCTTGAGAGTCCCATGGACTGCAAGAAGATCAAACCTATGCATTCTTAAGGAAATCAGCCCTGAGGGCTCACTGGAAGGACAGATCCTGAAGCTGAGGCTCCAAGACTTTGGCCACCTCATGAGAAGAGAAGACTCCCTGGAAAAGACCCTGATGTTGGGAAAGATGGAGGGCACAAGGAGAAGGGGACAACAGAGGATGAGATGGTTGGACAGTGCTCTCGAAGCTACCAGCATGAATTTGACCAAACTGTGGGAAGCAGTGGAGGACAGGAGTGCCTGGCGTGCTCTGGTCCATGGGGTCAAGAAGAGTCGGACACGTCTAAACGACTAAATGACAACGAAAAGGAAAAGCAGGGCATTCCAGGATCAAATCAGAAACTGAGATGTCTTCTGTAAATCCAGGACTGTCCCTGGAAAATGGGGGTACTTGGAGGGTCTGCAATAATGAGCCCTAAGTGTTACTATGAAAATCATAAAGAAACATAGATAGAAAATCTGTTAGAAGAAATAAGAGAATTGCAATCTTAAATGAAACCTTGTATATATAATATAGTAACTTGCCTTTGGCCAATTCAGTTGTCTCCTCACAATGTTCTGCATAAGTAGCAAGGCCTTGAAGCCTGCCAATCTATTGTGAGTGTTGGGACTGCAACTGTAAGGAAGCGAAAAGCAAAATACAGTTTAAGATGTTTATTTACACTAATTGCAGCCAGCCATTGTATTAATAAATC